TCCAAACCACAAAAACCACCATCAACTATATTTCTATGCCTTAAGCTCAGGAGTTTTTTTTCACTGCTGGTCGGATTTGTGTTTAATCGCTTCCCTTGACAATGCCTGTAAACTGGCATTAAATTAAAATTTATTTATTTATCTCAAAAAGCCAGGAGACGTCTCAAAGCATCCCAAAAGGACCAAGTATGTCAGAGCGCCAGCAGGGGAGAGCAGAGTCCACACAGAAGACAAGAAGATGCCTCACTGACGCAAGAGGTACCTCATGACCAGGAAGCCTCGATAAACGAGGAACCCTACGGTAGCTATACCATGACAACTGTCGCTGAAGGGGACATTGATGACAACAAAAACTTTCGGGATGCCAACTGTGCGTATAAAAATAAGCGACAGCGCCCTATTGATCGCAATAAATGCATCATTGTAAAGGGTATGCCTGAGTCCTCTTCAGACACCCCAAAGAACAGAATAAGCCACGATATAGAATTATTCCAGCAATACCTCAAATCCCTATTACAAGAGAACGAGAACATCACCGTATTGAAAGCTTTCAGGATAGGACCCACTAAGGATTTGGAGGGCGACTCGGGCCATCACAGACCATTAAAAATTATTCTCGAAAGTGAGGAACAAGCACTATTACTGTTGAATAGGAAACCAGCACTGCGGGATTTCTCACCGGCCGAACGGGATAAATGAAGGTAACTCAAGGCCGAACTCCTCAGAAGATACAATTCCGGCGGGAAAAACCTAAGAATAATGAATGGCAAAGTCGTAAATGTTCGGACCTCATTCCTCTGGAAACAACCAATAACACTGAGCATAATGAGCAACCAGATAATAAGGAAAGAACGCCCCTATCTGACAAACCGATCAGAGAAAACGACGGACAACACACTAACATCCAGTCCAATCAAACAGCAGTAGACCCGAAAACTCGCGCGAAGTATCCATCAACTTCGGCCCAAGAATCGTTCGGGAATCTGCCCGGTCTAAGCTCCGCTTTCTTTATGCAAATGCTCAGAGTTTGTTTCATAAGCTCGATGAGCTGAAAGTATGGATAACAGATACGCAGCCGGATGTCATTTCTATCACAGAGACTTGGTTCCAGATCGAAGTCTTGGATGCCGAAATAACACTTGAGGGATACCAACTTTTTCGCCGGGACAGACTGCATAGAAAAGGAGGAGGAATAGCGGTCTACGTCAAGAGAGGAATCATCGCGTCGGAACACAAAACCGATTGCTCCGGCGACTGTGAAGCAATGTGGTTAAAACTGAGGATGCGTGGCGCACCTAATTTGAATTTCCTGACCGTATACAGGCCGCCCAATCAAACTGATGAGGTTGACGAGGCGATGTTTGGGCTAATTAAAGAGGTGTCACAAAACCAAGAGGTACTGATAACCGGAGATTTCAACGCACCCATGGTCGACTGGAACAATTTGTTAGTAGATGGCTCGCGAAATTCCTTCGATTCCAGGCTCTTGAAGCTAACGGCTAATCTCTTTCTGGTAAAAAACGTCGCGTTCCCAACCAGGATCAGAGAGGACCAAAGAGCGAATTGTCTGGACCTCGTCCTTACAAAAGACCCGATTAGCCCTGGCGAACTTAGGTCCATAACACCGCTCGGTAAGAGTGACCATATCATGCTGTTTTTTGGGAATACCGCCTATGCAGCCAACAAGCGAATACGACTGAGCCTAGACTGAATTTCTGGCGAGGAGATTTTGCCGCCATGAGAAGAGAATTATTGGCAGTGGACTGGGATGACTTTCTTTCCGGACATCCAGACGTTGATTGGAACACTCTCAAAGGAGGTGTAACAGACATCATGCATCGAAACTGTCCGACAAAGAGAGTCAAAAAGAATAATCGTCCTGCCTGGATAACGCAGGATATAAAGAAAGAAGTAAACCGGAAGAAAAAACTATGGCGAAGGTATGCAACAATAAAACAACCATCCCATTACGAGCAATTTCGTCGAAAGCGAAACGAGGTAAGGGGGGCTATCCGCAGGTCGCGGAAGGAGTATGACATGCGAGTTATGGAACGGGCCGTCGATAAGCCAAAAGTGCTCTTCAGCTACATAAACAGTAGGTTAAAGAACAAGGAGACGGTCGCAGTGTTGAAAGGAGAAAACAATGAGGATATCATCGAAAATGACGCTAAGGCAGAAAATCTAAGCCGGTTTTTCGTATCGGTTTTCACCGATGAAACGGACTTTGACGAGGCTGGACCTCCTGCTGGGACAACCGATGAAATAATAGAAAACATTGACTTCACGGAAGAAGATGTGAGGAAGGAACTTCTAGCGCTTAAGGAGGGCAAGTCTCCGGGCCCAGACCAAATTCCGGCAAAAGTGCTGAAGGAGTGGGCTTGCGAACTCGCCAAACCGCTTTGGCACCTCTTTAGGTCGTCCTTTGACCGAGGCATTCTCCCCTCTGATTGGAAAGTGGCGAACATATACCCCCTTCACAAGGGTGGATCCAGAACAAGTGCAAACAATTATCGGCCGGTGAGCCTAACGTGCATTTGTTGCAAAGTCATGGAGAGAATAGTCAAAAAATCCATAATGAAGTTCCTTGAAGAAAATAATTTCTTTGCTAGTTCTCAGCATGGCTTTCGACGAAATCACTCCTGCCTAACTAATGTGCTTCATTCAACGGAACAGTGGTCTCGCTCGTTAGACGCAGGAACAAAGGTCGATATCGTTTACATAGATTTCAAGAAAGCTTTTGATAGTTTTCCACACCACCGATTACTTTACAAGGTCCGAGAGTCAGGGATAAGGGAAAACCTATTAAACTGGGTAAAGGACTTTCTGACTGGTCGATCACAGTCTGTGTGTATTGGTAGTGAGAAGTCAACACCAGCGCCAGTTGTGAGTGGAGTCCCGCAGGGCTCCGTACTCGGACCAGTACTATTTTTAATTTATGTCAACGACTGTATGAATGAACTGGACTGCAATGGAGTCATGTTTGCTGATTCAGCTTATTTGGTAAGGATAATAGGCAAAGCCTTTGAAAACCCTATTGATTACATGTCAGCTCGTTAGAAATAACTGTACACGAACAGAAAATATTCACTATTAAAACAGTACTTGGTTCAGTTAAGTAGCATTGTCCCAGAGAAAATATTTGTGGGGACCAGGGATATTAGTTCCGATTCAGACCGTCGAGGGAAAACAGGGGACACAAATAATCAGCCAAGCAATTCTTGAAGAGGTGCAGGGATGTAGCCTCCACGACTGACTGAGGGAGATTGTTCCATTTCTCCACTACCCTCTGCGTGAAAAATTCAGAACGAAGATTCAGCCTGGACATTGTTGCCCGTAACTTCATCGAGTGACCACGAAGATTGGGTGAAAGGTGCCACTGAAACATGTTCTCAAATTGAAGTCCATACTCAAGGCCATGTATTATCTTGTAGACGAGGATAAGATCACCTCTTTGCTGAGGCCTTAAGACCAAGAAGACGCTGAATACGTGCGGCGGAGTCAACGGCGGATTCGCTCAGGTCCGGAGTAACTGTTAACTGCAGTGCGTATAGAATGCAAGAGGCTGCAGTGTATCCGGGGAGGTCGCGATTTATACCTTCCACATGCAAAACTTTAATGAAAACGTGGGCAGCCGACCGCCTTAAAAGCTGACGTAGCTTCAAAGAGCACGGTAGAAAATCCACGGATGGGGCAATAAAATCAAGCGGGGTTATGCCGGTCAAGTTCCACCGGAGCGCAATGCATATGGTGAGCTCTTTGTCCAAGAGATCTTGACAAGTAACAGAGAAGTCTGTGTACTGGACCACGTGTTCGACCGAAACTGGGGAAGGTTCCTTCAATTTGCTCGAAATCAAGAAACACGCAGCGCCAACCAACTGGTACTCTCTCTCTTATCAGTGGGCATTATCTGCAGAAACCGATCAATAAATTGAGCAGTGTGAGCAAGCACGTCCACCTCCGTATTTCTATGCTCGCACACCTCCCGCAGCCAATTTAGCAAGGTCCTGCGCATCCATATGGCATGCGCTGGGGGTTCGTAAACACAATAAGCAGGGAAACCATGGTAGCGAACCGCATCGAAAAGCAGGTCGCGGATCACGTTCTCATTTGCTGTGAAGTATGTGTCCACGGCTGAGAGCGGCACAGTTATCGGACCTTACTGTGCATTTTTGTGTCTCCTACTTGAACGCGCGTGGGATGAACAGACGTTCTCGTCATTTTCCATGTCCACGTCCGAAATGCGCCCAGACCATACGACAAGGGGAATCACACGTGCCGGACGAAGCCAAGACATCAAGTTATGGCGAGCGATCAACGGCGAACATGATGAACGGGCCCTGCAAGGAGGACTGAACCGCCTATGCGAATGGTCTGACAAATGGCTGCTAAAGTTTAACCTAGAGAAGTGCGTCGCGCTGCGACTCAAAACGACTGGAAGATCTGACGGAGGGGATCACCATTACCAACTTGGTGGAAGGTGCCTTTCAAATGTAACCGAACAAAAAGATCTTGGGATTAACATTCTGTCGACCCTTAAGCCTTCATCTCAGTGTGTTAGGGCGTCCAAAAGAGCAACTAGTGTTCTCTTTGCCATTAAACGATCTTTCGTGGACATAGACAAAGAGTTATTTGGAAAAGTATACGGAGCGTTCATTCGCTCGCATCTGGAATATGGAATCCAAGCGTGGCGCCCGTGGCTAAAAAAGACAATAAGTTGCTAGAAAGAGTTCAGAGGAGAGCAACAAAAATTGTAAAAGTCCTCAGGACTTTACCTTACAACTGCCGACTTAGGGAACTTAAACTTTTTCCTCTTGAGTACAGGCAGGTTTGAGGAGATCTCATACAGGCCTATCGGATATTGAGGAACGGGGAATGTGCCCTAAACCCCGACGATTTCTTCACCCTGGCCACAACAACAAACCTGCGTGGGAACTCTCTAAAACTTAGAGTATCCCGATGCCGCCTGGACGTTCGCAAATACTGTTTTTCACAGCGAGTCGTCGGTGCCTGGAACGGGCTTCCCGAGGACGTAATAATGGCGGACACCACGGAGACGTTCAAGCAAAGACTCGATGCATATTTGCTTGGACACTATCGCTTGTCTGAACAGAACAGCTCTGTGGTGCTAAACCAACGCCTTGCATACTCATACCGCTAATGCGGATGACTGTCATTACATTTTACTGAAATCATCTACAACTGAATGTTCTCAAGTTTTTGTTCTACATTTTCATGGAAAGTATTCTGTTAAACGTGTATATTACCGACAACATTTCAGTACCATGTTTATTTAAAATGAGATATTGCATGTACCGTTTACAATAGGGTTTTCAAAGGCATTGCCCATTACTCTTAAAATATACTGACCTAAGATCCTGAAGATGTGAGACAGGGTAGCGGTCCGGGACAGTAACGTTGTTCAGGGCCCTGTAATCACCGCAGGGGCGCCAGTCACCAGTGGCGGCCTTTGGAACCATGTGGAGGGGTGAGGCCCATGGACTTTCAGACTGGCGGATGATGCCCATTTGAAGCATGTGCTAGAATTCGGCCTTGGTGGCAGCAAGACGTGTAGGCGCGAGACGGCGGGGGCGAGAAAACACGGGAGGGCCGGTGGTCCGAATGTGGTGAACAACGTCATGTGGTGGAATAGAAACGCTGAAGTTGGGGCGAGTGAGGCCGGGGTATTTGACGAGGAGTTGCCGAAATGGATTCTCGGGTTCAGGGTCCAAGACGGCAAGATGACGGGAGGCGTCGGAGAAAGAGATACCCCGGACAGTAAGGTTGGTAGTCTTGTCGTGTAGACGTGACTGACGGCAGTCGACCAGAAGATCGAAAGCGGCGAGGTAATCTGCACCGAGAATTGCACAGGGGATGCCAGCAACGACGAAGACCCAAGGGAAGAGACGCCGGAGACCGATGTCCAGCGAGAGGGAGCAGGTGCCAAATGTGGTAATCGGCGATGTGTTGACGGCCTGTAGGAAAAGACCGGGATTGGGACACCGACGATCAGCTGGTGTGGGTGGAATGACACTTAGCTGGGCACCAGTGTCAACCAAGAAACGTCTGCCACTCCGGGTGTCGCGGACGTAAAATGTGCGACCAGGGTTAGAGCTGTCGGAAAGATTGCTTGCACTGACCTTCCGGCTGACCGGTTTTACCCGTTTGTTCTGCTTGAAAGTGAAGGAGCAAGGAGAGACGCAGCGACGGGCTTTAGCACCGAAAGTAGTGTGGTACCAGCAGGTGGCAGCTGCGTCTGGACTGACTGAATGAGAAGACTGGACATGCGGGGTGGACGGCTGCGGTTGGCTCCGAGATGAGGCAGAAACTGTGGACTTCTGGAGAGCGGCTATATCATCGGCCAGCTTGTTGAGCTCGATCTCTAACTGCGAAATGGGAGACGCAGGAGGAGATGAGGGAGTTTAGAGTGCTGAAATAGACGGCTTGGAAAAACCGTGCATCTCCATAAGCCGATCAGCCATCTGAGTAAGTTGCGTCGCCGAAAGAATGCCGAAGGCGGGTGCCAAAATATGCTGCACTTCCGGTGGAAAGTTGTCCATGATCAACGCCTGACTTTGTCGTAGATTAGGAAGAACGAAGATTGCTGCTCGTAAGGAGTCACCAGTTGTCGAAGTTGTGTCGTCGACAAGATAAAGATTCCCAATCAAAAGTCTGGGAAGACGGTTTGATTTGGACAAACTTTACTGCCTGAGAAAGTGCGTACACAAGGGCTGTGTGGGCAGTCGCCGCAAGCACGCTCCAAGCAAGCTTTTGTCTGCGTCCACCCTTGAGGTGTTGTGTTAGCGCGTGTGTGCGCCCTTCGTTGTCTCCACGTCGCCAGCCAATCAGAATGGGGACAGCGTTGATTGGCTTCGAGCACTCGCGCGTCCCAGCAGCGTCTCGACACGGAGTGTGAGGCGGACAGGACGGCAGCGTGACAAAGGCGGAGGGTGAGGAGACGTGAACCGCCACAAGGGATCGAACACCAAAGGTTGTAATGGGAGATGAGTTTACGGCTCGAAGGAAAAAACCATGGTTTTGGCAACGTCGGTCGGCTGGCGTGGGAGGGATAACACTAATTTGAGCGCCAGTGGCGACTAAAAAGTGCCTGCCACTCGTGTTATCACGGATGTGAAAAGTGCGACCCGTAGAGTTGCCAGAGAGCTCGGCCGCATTTACTCTCCGGCCGAGGAGTTTCCCTGCGTGGACTTAGAGGAGCAGGGTGGGACACAGCGCCGCGCCTTATCGCCATAGTTGACATGATACCAGCATAGGTTTGCGGTCCTGGGGCGAGAGCGGGAACGACGACGGTCACGGACGAAAGAACGTCGAGAGGGACCGGGAGATTGGCGCAGCTGCAAAGAGGCAACAGTCGCTGACAACTGGGCAATCTGTGTCTTAAGTTCAGCCAGGTCAGAAGTGGACACGGTGAGAGGCTGGGAAACCTGAGCGATCCTCGGGGATGACAAACGCTCAACCTCCATCATACGGTCAGTCATCTCCGCTAACTTTGATATGTCTAGGTCGTCGGAGCCAGGGGCCAAAATTGTTTGTACCGACGTCGGCAAACGTTCTAAGAATATATCTTTAAAGAACTTGTCGTCGATTGTCATGTTCCCAACAAGAGAACGCACACGACGCAAGAGTTCCGACGGCTTGCGATCACCCAAGGCTTCCACTTTTCCTAGCGCGCGATAACGCTGCCGATCGAAGACTGCTGTCAGGGGAAGAAGTTCAGCCTTTAACTTGGTGTAGGGAGCATCAGTCGGGGATCTATCAGAAACGTTCGCACTTGGGAAAGAATAGTCGGAGGAAGGACCTTGACCAGATTTTAATATTTGTCCGTTTCACGTGTTATCTTGGCGGAGTGAAATGTCGTCTTGATACGGAAAAAATAAAGCTCTGGCGCGTATTGCCAAAAGTCTGGGAGAGAAGAAACGAGTCCACTGAGTGAAGTAGTGGCATCGTTGGAATTTTTAGAGGTCATGATGGTAGAAAGAAGGAAGGCAAACGGACGGTATACAAATAGAAAGTCAACAAATTAAAGCGCGAACGTCAAAAGGCCACCACTGTTGGGAGCACTAAAGACAGAACACTCAATCCCAGACTGTGAATATTAGGATAAGACCAGAGATATGAAAGAATTAACAATCAAAAGTCAAACGACCTGACAATCCAACACATGCCAAGCGCGTCGCGTATAGTAGTGTTCCTTCCATTCAGATAAACAACCAGTAAGTTCAAGAATGAAAAACAGATAGGGAAAGGCAAGATAGTCTGGCGCCTCGGCACAAGCTACTTCAGCCTGGCTTACAGCCTATTTTTCCGCCACTCCACACAAACACATCAGGACTGATTTCGGCCTCAGTCAGCAACATTCCAAGCCACGGGGCTTTACGTGCCGTTGCAGTTTCAGGCTCGCTTTACCCATACAAAAGGAGCCACATGGAGACCGAGTCGATTCGCACAATTCACACAAGCGTGGGATGTTGCATTTGGATGGTTGCGGTCGGTGATGTTGATGAGCGGTGAGGTGGTGGTGTGGAACCGCCGGCGGTTGCCTACCGCAGGTTATCGTGGATACACATGGTGCCGAATAGGCCCATGAGATGCATGAATGTGCAAGGGCAGTGCGGACATTGGAGTCGGATGCGGCGTGTATATGTAGGTGCTTCAGGCACCGGTTCGCCAGTCTCTGTGCGATGGATTCGCAAGTGACCGACCAGGCCGATGCGATGTGCGTGGACAGTGTGGGGGATGAAGTCGCTTGCGTCGGTGTCAGTTGCCGAGGGGTTGGTGGGAGCACAGGGCGATGAAGTGAGTGTGGGGTTTGGCTTGTCGGGTGAGACGGGATGGCGGCCAATTCCGATGTCGTGGATGAGCATGTGACCGAATAGGCCCAAGAGGTGCGTGAAAGTGCGAGGGCAGTGTTGGCAGTTGAGTCGAGTGTGGTGGGTGTAGATGAGTGCAGAGTGTGGGCAAGAGGTCAACGGTGTCGGTGTCAGCTGCAGAGGAGGCGGTGGTGGTGGTGACGGGCGCGGGCGATGGAGCGAGGGTGGGGCTGGGCATGGTGGATGTGTTGGATGTGGTGGGTGTGTCGGAATTGTGGTCAATTCCGCTCTCGTGGATGCGCATGTGGCCGAATAGACCCATGCGATGCGTGAAGGTGCGAGGGCAGTGTGGGCAGCGGAGGCGAGTGCGGTGAGTGTAGGTTGGTGCTCCAGGCACTGGTTCGCCAGTCTCTGTGCGATGGATTTGCAAGCGACCGACCAGGCCGATGTGTGAGGTGGAGGTGAGGGCAGGTGTAGTCCCGGTCCTCAACTCTGGAGTCGGAGGTAGTAGCAGTAGAGGAGGAGGAGGAGGAGGAGGAGGAGGAGGAGGAGGAGGATGGAATCGGTGGTTCAGAAAGAGTAGTCAGAGTTATTTGGCGGCGGAGACGACGAGGAAGAGGCGCGCGTAGGGACGACGTATGGTGCGGTCCGAGAGGCGCAGTTGATCCGTATGTGTCCAACACGTCCAATTTGTACCCGGAAGGTCCGTTGACATCGAGGACACGTTGGTAGCGGTTGTGCGTCGGCGTTGCGTACTGGGCGAAGTTGTGAGTTGCGGGCTTCGCGTTTCGCCTTGGCGGCAGCGATGCGGATGGATTCGTTGATCGGAGCGCCTGTCTTCACTGTCCTCCTCCAGGTCCGTCGATCGCGGGCGAGCTCTTCCCAGTTGGTCGGGATGATTTGCAGGCGCTTCAGGGAGAACTTCAGAGCATCCTTGTATGGGCGAATTTGGCCTCCTTGACGACGAGAACCCGCCGCAACGTCTCCGTAGAAGAGTCGTTTGGATAGTCGCTCGTCGTTCATGCGCACCAGGTGGCCGCTCCAGCGTAGCTGCATTAGTCTCAGTATGGTGTAGATACTGAGGATTCGCGTCCCTTCTAGTAAACCAGTGTCGGTGATTCGATCCTGCCAGTTCAGCCTCAGGATGCGACGAAGACAACTGAGGTGGAAGTGGTTCAGTCGGCGTGCATGCCTCGCGTACATCGTCCAAGTCTCCGCTCCGTATAGTAGCGTCGGCAGGATGACGGCCTTGTACATCTTCAGCTTCGTGCTCAGTTGGAGACCATTACGAATCCAAACTGTGCTTTGAAGGCGGCCGAAGACTTGACTGGCTTTCGAGATCCTTTTGGCGACTTCGTCATCGATCTTGGTGTTGCGGGAGAGAGTACTGCCCAGGTACGGGAAGTTCTACACCTCATGCAGTTGGGTTCCGTTCACGCTGATTTGTGGCGCGTTGGTGGGTGTAGCTGAGTTGGGTGGCGGTTGATGCATGACAACCGTCTTCTGCGTGTTGATGACCAGACCGAAGTTCTCGCAGGCGGCGGAGAACATTTCCATGCTCCGTTGCATTTCCTCTTCCGAGGTGGTGTCCAGGGCGCAATCGTCGGCAAAATACAGTTTGCGAACGTTGGTTGTGGATATGCGCGATTGGACGTGCATCCGTGTTTGATTCAGAAGCTGACCGTCCGTCCTGTGGGCGATGCGGATCCCGGGGTGCTCATCATGACAGGCGTACATCAGCATGGCAAAGAACATAAGACTGAACATTGGAGGTGCTAGCTCGCATCCCTGCTTCACTCCGTTGGTCACTGCGAATGCCTCTGAGACAGCTCCGATGTCCGTGACTCGCGCCATCATACCGTCGTGCAGCTGACGCACCATCTGAGTGAATCGCTCCGGACAGCCGAATTTCTGCATGATCTTCCACAATCCTTCACGATTCACCATTTCGAAGGTTTCGTCAGGTCCACGAAGGTAGAGTACAGGTGGGTCCGCATCTCCTGACACTTCTCCTGTAGTTGGTGGGCGGCAAAGATCATGTCCGTGGTCCCACGATGACGACGGAAGCCGCACTGGCTTTCAGGCAGAACGCCCTGTTCCAGATGGTTATTGAGACGGTTGAGAAGGAGTCGCACAAAGATCTTCCCGGCAATGTTCAGCAAGGAGATGTCACGGTGATTGTCGCAGACTTGGCGATTCCCTTTGCGCTTGTAGAGATGCACGATGGTTGCGTATTTGAAGTCTTGTGGGACTTCCCCTTGATGCCACATCACCTGGAAGATCGCAGTCAGGTGATCCATCAGTTGGGGACCCACGTGCTTGTAGACCTCTGCAGGGATTGCGTTCGATCCGGGTGCTTTCCCGCTGGAGAGTTCCTGCACGGTCCTGATGGTCTCCTGGAGAGATGGCGGGAGGTCGAGGTCCACGTTGGTCTCCACTTGCGGCAAGCGGGCGATGGCGGCGTCGGAGATGACGGCAGGGCGGTTGAGGACGCCCTGGAAATGCTCGGCCCATCGCTGTAGGATTTGCGTCTTCTCAGTCAGGAGAGTGCTGCCGTCGGCGCTGAGGAGAGGAGCAGTGCCCTTCGTCGGCGGACCGTAGACAGCTTTGATCGCGGAGAAGAAGATCTTCCATTCGTTGCGGTCCGCGTAGCCTTGGATCTCCTCAGCTTTGCGAGCAGTCCAGGCGTCCTGCATCTCGCGCAGTCGTTGCTGAATCTGTCGGCGACTGCGGTAGAAGGCAGTTTTGTTGTCCTCAGTAGGGTGATCTACGTAGGCTTTGTGGAGGCGGTTCTTCTCAGCAAGCAGATTTCTGATGGCGGCAGAAGGCCCCGTTTTCCGGGCAGGGAACCAACTGTCAGCGAATACCAGGCTCAGAGGGCCATGGTTTGTTGATACTACCTTTCAGATCTGCTGACATATAGGGCGACACGTGTCCCTTCATTTTGCCAGGCCGGTCACTCCTAAATTTTGTGTAACCAATGAGACGTCGACTGGCATCCACCGCCAATGAAGCACACACTATCTCCTCACATGCTTCAGAGTGTCACGGAACGCTTGAGTTGGCGGCGTGACAGCCTGACTCTCAGTCCACCAGTCAATCACACCGCAAAACACACACACAAACAAATGGACAGACTGCTGATGCTGATGATTGATTATGAGATGCAGTTGTAGTGACATTTAAGTCCGTTTTGTTTTAATCAGTTACAATACGCTTTGACACAACTTTGAATAAGACAAAAGAACACGCACGTGCACTTTTACCTGCTGACGACTTTGTTCTTATTTACTAGTTTGTAACTGTTGGGATACTGCTATTTTCGTTTCCTGGATAGCCTACTCGCTGTGCCCAACTAGTATAAGAGATTAATCCTCTCAGGCCTGACTGGACACAGTCAACACCAGCCCTGGCTTCACCAGTGGCCACTGTCGCCTGAGAGGACAACTCCGGGTTCTGTGTACAATAAACCCCTCATTCTGGTGTCTTCCTTCTTCCCCTTCAACTTGGCATCTGACCCGGTGACGGTAGCGCACAGACCACATACTCTCGCCGCTTGGTTACAACAATTGGTGACCGTGACGTGGTCGACGCACAATCTCCGGACGTGGCTGAACTCAGCCGCCACAAAATTCCCACTCAACTTCGCTCTGCTGTTTTTCCTGTGTCACTCATCTTGCCCATGGATAGGAAAACGCAATTGCGTCACCCTGTCGCGATTCGAGATCGATGTCGCCTACAAAGCTCAGCCATACAAGCCCAGGTCCAACCACAATCAAACTGTGCAGATCAGGTCTCCAAATGTGTTGCTATCTAAACGCCTCACCATTTGTCCGCGTAGATAGCGTTCGCCGGCCACTACAACAGCCCTATGACGGCCCATTTCGAGTACTATCGCGCAAGGACAAGCACTTTACAATTGACCGTGGGGGCCGCACCGACGTGGTCTCAATCGATCGCTTGAAGGCGGCTTATACCGAGCCTCTTCCAACTTCTCCAACCGAACAACCTCCACTTGGCACATTGCCACTTGCTATTTCCCAGACCCCATTTACGCCCAATAACCCCGCGTCTTCCCTTATCCCACAGACTCCTCCCCTTACGCGCAACGGTCGTCATGTCCGTTTTCCCGACCGTTACCAACTTGTACAATATGCATAACGCTCCCACATTTTCCTTCTATTAACAATAATTTTTTTTGAACTCCGTTCTCCTAGGAGGGGGAGTATTGTAGTAAAATTTAAATCTGTTTTGTTTTAATCAGTTACAATGCGCTTTTTGACACAACTTTGAATAAGACAAAAGAACACGCACGTGCACTTTTACCTGCTGACGACTTTGTTCTTATTTACTAGTTTGTAACTGTTGGGATACTGCTATTTTCGTTTCCTGGATAGCCTACTCGCTGTGCCCAACTAGTGGATTAATCTCTTATACAGTCTTGCAGCTGGCAGTTGTCTGTCGCGGGTTTTCAGGAACGCGATTGTGACCGAATAGACGCATGCGGTTAATAAATGTGTGAGTGGAATGTGGGCAGTGGTGGCAGGTACGACGGGTGTAGGTCGGTGCTCCAGGCACTGGTTCGCCAGCCTCTGTGCAATGGATTCGCAAATGACCGACCAGGCCGATATGTGAGGTGAAGGGAGGATCGAAAGTAGGCGGGGTATAGACCGGGTCCTTATAATTGGTGTTGGCGATGAAGGTGGTGTTGGTGTTTGTTAGTGTTTCACGATTGTTTGTTGTTAATGGGCATGTCAGAAGCCACATCAGCAGATGTTGAGGAGGAGGAAGAGGAAGAGGAGGAGGAGGAGGAGGAGGAGGAGGAGGAAGAAGAAGAAGAAGAGGATGGTAGTGGTGGCTCGGGGGCGGGGGGCGATCCAGGTTAGTTGACGTTGTGGGAGGCGCGCGAGGAATGGGAGGAGAGACGAGGGTTGGTGCAGTCCGTGTGCCGCAGTCAGACTGGAGCGATCCAAAAAGTCCAATTGGCGTCCAGAATGCTCGATGACATTGTGGACATGTTGGAGATGATTGGGCGATGGCGTTGTGAGGCGGCGGCGGAGACGAGGACGACAGTCGAGATTTGCGTGTCCCGCGTTTGGACTTGGCGGCTGCGGTGATGTGATTGGCTCCGACGATTGTTGAGTCTGTCTTCACTGCTCTCTTCCACGTTGGTCTGCCCCGGTCTGGGTATTCCCAGTTTGCCAGGTTTATCTACAGGCGCTTCAGAGGTATTTTCATTGTATGCTCTTAGTGCCAAAGAAGAGTCTTTTGAGTGGCCTGTCGTCGTCCATCCGTACTAGTTGGCCGCATTGCAGGTATGCTGAGGATCTCCACCCAGTCCGCTACGTCCGTGTCTGGGATCTCGTCCTGCCACCTCAAAATCAATACTTGTCGAAGACAGCTGAGATGGAAATGATTGAGTCTACGTGCCTGCTTCATGTACACAGTCCAGGTCTCCGCTCCATGTATCAACGTCGACAGGATGACTGCCTTGTGTATCTCTAGGTTCGGGGCTGATGTGAAGCCCGTAACGATTCCAAACTGCATTTTTAGGACTAACTTGCAAATGCGGCGGGCCACTTCATCGTCGATTTTGATGCTGTAGGAGAGGGTGCTGCCCACATACATGAAGTTCTCCGCCACTTGCAGTTCCGCTCACGTTGGTCTCACCTCCGGACGAGAACAATGTCTAGTATGCGCCAATGCCACGACCGAGTATGTATCCAAGGGGCATTGACGATGGAGACCCAGAATTCATCTCCAGGCAGCATGGTGTGCGCCGAAGTGGGCGATAAAATCACCAAGGACAAGTCACCAAGTCGTCGGCTCAGACGCCAGGAGTGCGTGCAGTTCCGCGTAGAATTTGTTTCTCGTCTCGGCGGGACTGCTCATCGTCGGAGCGAAGATATTGACAAGGATGGTAATTTCTCCACCCCGGAGAGGAAAGCGGAGGCTCATCAGGCGGTGGTTGATGCCCTGCGGCAGACTGGGCAGTCGTCCCACGATGTCCGGTGCTGCCGTCAGATGCTGCATGAATTGGTGACCAACGTGCTTGTAGACCTCCGCAGACCTCGCGTCCGATGCGGGCGCTTTCTCGCTGGAGAACTGCTGCACGGTCCTGATAGTCTCGTGGATAGAGGGTGGGAGGTCAAGGTTGGTGTTTGTTTTCGCTTGGGGCAGGCGGGCGATGGCAGTGTCGGAGATGATGGAGGGGCGATTGAGGACGCCTCTGAATTGTTCGACCCATCGCTGCAGTTTTTGTGTCTATCGGTGAACGGGGTTTTGCAGTCTGCGCCGAGGAAAGGTGCAGTACCTTTGGCGAGCGGAAAGTAGATGGATTTGATGGCGGAGAAGAAGTTCTTCCATTCGATGTGGTCCGCGTACCCTTGGATCTCCATAGACGTGCGGGCCGCCCGTCCGTTCTGCATCTCGCGCAGACGTTGTTGCACAAGGCGGCGGCAACGCTAGAATGCCGCTTTGTTGTCGTCGTCGGTGGGGTGGTCGATGTAGGCTTTTTGCAGGCGGTCCTTCCCGAAGAGCAGGTTGTAGATGACGGGATGCGCGACCGAGGACGGCCAGCGCCTTCGATTGGATTGTGTCCCAACAGTTCTCCACGGATGCGTTCTCCTCAGCGGCGGCTGCATTGGCGATTTGTAGGTTGTCTAGCCGTTTAGCTAGCTCATTGTTGAAATGGAGATGGTGAGCTTGCAAAGACAACAGGGCAATATTCAGCTTACCTGGGGGTGGTTTACCTGGACGTCTCCTGTCATGTCCCATTGTCTGCGTCTAGCGCCTTCATGCCACCGTGGAGCCGACGCATCGTCTGATCTAATCCTTCTCGCTATCACACTGTCACATAGGCCACCGTCGTTTATCCTGCCCAAGATCAAACCATACGCCCGTATTTTACATAACCTTGTGCAGTTTTCAAGCAGTGCAATTTTGCCGATGTTTGCCTAACTCTGATCGACAACACGCTCTTCAGCAGACTGCGTTTGAAGTACAGCCGCTGAAAGACAACAATTCCACACCACCATCTGGATGACTTGTGGCTACATTCAGCTTAGGCGAAGGGTTAGCGTAATTCAGGGCGGCAGTAGTTGCGAGACTGAAGAGAAGATCGAGTAGAGAGTATGTCATCCTCTTCTTTCTCGGGAATCGATGCCCCACCCTGCTAACACCCAACACCAGCGCGCCTGCAATCTGCACGCACGAAACCCCACCCAGCCAGCTCCCTCCCTCCGCATCGGATCAGTAGATTTTAGTGCAAATCGGTGCACCCAAAGTGGTGTGATCTGCTCGCGTCTGTCCCTGGTTTGTGAATAATGATGACAGGAGCCCTAATGCAATGAGTGCAACATTCGTACCTAACACATGGCTGCATGTTTGCAACCACTACGCGGGGAATTTACCTGACATATATATTTTGTGCTATAACTGAAGGTAAAACCGCTGTATAGTCTAAAGTTTCCTATCTGTAAGTGCCAAGAGCGACTTCAGTTTACAGAATATATTTCTTCAGATTAACCCAACTGTAAAAAACTCGACGCCTCGGTGGGATTCGAGCCCACGCAGTAAGGGGGAGGCTTCAGTACAGCCAACGCTCTAACCAACTGAGCTACGAGGCCCCGCCGGACGACGCGAGTTTTTTTCCCATATACATTTTGTGCCATAACTGAAACTAAAACCACTGTATAGTCCTAAATTGCCTATCCGTTAGAACCGAGAGCCCCTTCAGTTTAAATAATACATTTCCTAAAGTCTCAGGCATCCACGTTGATTGATTTGTTAAACATCGGTGCCACGGTGGGACTGGAACCTTCGACAGCAAGGGTTTAACTATGTCAAGTAATCCATTTCTCCTTATTTTGACTGGCAAGGCGAGCCTATTGCAGCTTGGCCGACTATTTTCGATATTGCCGTATTAAACTCAAGTACACAGACGAGTCATTTTTATACGCACATTAAATACTCGGCGCCTCGGTGGGGTATGAAGCCACAGCAGCAAGAGTTAGCCTGAGTACAGTCAACGCTCTAACCAACTGAGCTCAGAGGCTCCACCGGACGACGCTACATTAATCGTATCTGTCATGATACCTATGAATTACTTTTATGAATAACTTTGAATACCTATATGAATTACTCGTGGCCATCTGGTGGATTCTAGATGTATTACTTAGGAAATCCAGCCTTGGCAGTCAAATTACTGTATCAGATTTGGTGGATTCCAGACGTTGCAGTAAGTGGGGCGGGAATCTTGACCCAGATGTGATAAAACTCGCGTCGTCCGGCGGGGCCTCGTAGCTCAGGTGGTTAGAGCGTTGACTGTACTGACGACTCCTCCTTACTGCGTGGGTTCGAAACCCACCGAGTCGCCGAGTTTTTTACAGTTGGGTAAATATGAATTATTCAAAATCTGCCAAAATATCTAAGAATATATTTCCCAAAGACTCACACATCCACCTCGATCGAAATGTATAGCCTCGGTTTCACGGTGGGATTTGAAGCCAAGACAGCGATGGTTTGACTATGTTAAGTTATCCGTATCTCCTTATGCTGATTCGCAAGACGAGCCTATTGCAGCTTGACCGACTATTGTCGATATCGCCGTATTAATCTCAAGTCCACAGACCAGTTATGCTGATACCGATATGAAGTACTCGGCGTCTCGATGGAGTTTGAACACACGACAGCATGGGGAAGCCTTAGTACAGCCAACGCTCTAGTCACCTGTGCTAAGAGGCTCCACCGGACGACGCTACAATAATCGTATCTGCCATAATACCTATGAATTACGTGAGACTCGTAGCCATCTGGCGGATTCAAAATGCATTAATTAGAAAATCCTGCTAGGAAAGTCAGCTTACTTTACCAGATTTGGTGGATTCCAGACGCTGCTGTAGATCCAACGGGTAAACTTGATAGAGATGTGATTCAACTCGCGTCGTGCGGTGGGGCCTCGTATCTCAGATGGCTAGATCGTTGGCTGTACGAAAGCCTCACTTTGCTGTTGTGGGTTCGAATCCCACCAATTAGGCTTAGGAGCAACTTCGAAAACTGAAACCACTTATTTCTCAGAAGTAAAGCATTCTTAACAGTGTCATTTTGATGTGAGGAGAATCACTCGATCGCTAGAGCGATAATAATGCTCACTAGAGTTTCCCGATAACTTTTAGATCAAGGACAGAAACATATGGAATTTGTGGACGAACAGCGGTTGAAATATTTATAAGCTGCAATTCCTATGCTATCATACGCATGTCTATAATGATAACGCCCGCATTCACTGCAGCTTTTCGTGATTCGTTTGGCTATTTCCTGAGTAGCTATGTTTAAATTGTGACCGTCCGCGATCGAGCTGTTTAGTAAATACTAACATCATCCTTGGTTTTAAAAAATGACTTTGGCGTTTCCGTGAATTTGGAAACTGAAATTTTTGTTAAAAACGCGGTCTGCCTGTCAGACTGAAGTCCATAAAATGTTTAGTTTAAAATTCAGTGTGTGTGTTCACCGTTTCTATGTACAAGGGTTCTAAAATCAGAAAAAATATTACATTTTTCGCATCTTCTCTTACCCACCCTTGGTTTGCTGTCCTGGATTATGCATATCTAATTTATGCGGATATATAAACACGCGTATTAAAAAAAAACATGAAACCCATAACTACGTTAGAAACCCGTATTGCACTTGAACATTAAGTTTAATCCTACTTGGCTAGACTTCGTGTCCCTATGTTCGGTGAAACACTCCTGTAGATTGTCGAATCCGCACTAATTTAACCTTGAATTGGCGTGTTTCGTTGTTAAACACAACTCCATCGCATTTGTTTTACTTTGAATGTAAAAAGGCTTCTGGCTGGAAAATACAGATATTTACAATGACTGATTAATTATGCCTCCTTTGTCGTAGGGAATCAAGTAAGTATGCAGAACACTGCGGTTTCTCTTAGGAGCAACTTCGGAGACCGAACCCACTTCATTTTCAGAACTGGAGCTTCCTTAACAGTGTTATTTTACTGTGAGGAAAATCACTCGATCATGAAGGCTAACGTTATGTTCACTGGAGGTTCCAAGTTCATTTTCGAAAAAAGACAGGAACAGATTGAAGTTGGAGGGGCGAACGGTGGGTGAGATAGGCATGGACTGAAATTCCTATACTATCCCACGCATATTCTTAATAATAACGTCTGCACTCCTGGAAATATTCGCACTTAGTCTCATGACCTGTCGAGTAGATACGTCCAAATTGTGACTGACGGCGATCTAACCGTGTTTTAAGTAAAAACACAGTCTTTTGTTTTTGTAACCGACTCTGGCATTTCGGACATCGGCAACTGACATTTTTGATGGAAATGTGGATATCTAGCAAAGACAAAGTCTACGTATGTCTGAAAGTCGGACAAAATGTTGACATTTCCTGAGTGGACTTTTCCAATTAACGCAAGACAAGCCCCGATTTAGCTCGCGTGTTGATTCAGCGCATCACGCCACTGACTACCTGCCGCCAAGGTCATCTATCGGCGCATCTACTCGCATTCAGCTTTCGGCCATCTGGCGAAATCTGCCAGCTGCGTCATCCATCCAGCGCGACCGATTTTCTCTCGCCAGGCGTGCAGGCCACCTCACGGTCCAGGGGCCATCAACTCGAGGTGCACCCCTGATAACTGACTGTCCAGCAGGTTCGCAACATGAAGCAGGGCCTTCCCACGTAGATAGTGCGGATTCAGTTAATCGTATCTCTGGTTGCAACAAAATCACTAACCAGGGTTATGTTTGAACATGCGTTTTCTTAACTACCCTTGACATCATTCATGTGAGCTCGTCGTGCTTGGTGAAATCTTCGCTAAGAATAAATCCCGAGACAGTCCAACCTTTTAATCTTTTTTAGATGAAGAAAAGGATCAATTTATGCTACAGAGACAGACAGCGTACATGCATCCGATATCTTCCGTCGACCGAATACTAAGGAGTGTAACGTTTCCCTTAATAGAGAAGGCCGATAGCAACTCACACAGCAGTCTATCGCATTTCGCGGGGGTGGGCAAATTTGCTTTTGGAGTGGGACACTATTAGGACTTGGTGCCATCTGTCCTAATTCATAGTGCCAGGTCTGCCATCCACGCTCTAACTGTTCCTGTAGCCTCAGTAAGTAGTACGTGTGCCATTCATATTAACACACAAGCTCCCCGATCTGCGATCTTTCCAGTGTTGCTCACTTCGTCAGCAAGTGGACATCTCTTTGCTAAACTTACCTCGACCACATCTCTCATTCCTCGCAGAGATATGCTAGAGATTATTTTGTCACCCCAAGTGTTGAACAGTTTACACCCTTTTGGTGTTTTTTTTAACAAAAAAATTGGAGGCCATGTTTATTAAACCCGCTAGGGACACCTGGCAGTGAGAACATCTCCACCACTAAATCTAATTCGTCTCCAGTATCATACCCGCTGGCGACAATGATTTCTCTCCATAATCAAGCATTAATCCCGAAAACGAGCATCTCCCTCGTAAAAAATTAACTGGTTCATGCATTTCATTCCTTGCAGAGACAAACACGCCATTAATCGGTTGCCTTAGGTGTTGGGCACTGCACACCCTTTTGACGTTTTCAAAAACAACGACAAAACAGGTTAACTTGCAATTAGTTTATTTCTTAACATGCGGGTCATAGAAGGAACATCAAGAAACACAAAAGTTCACATGCGAATGCTTGCAGCTCCTGCGATGTTTGCGAGCGTCTCCAGTGGTTTCTTCGACGACCAGCTCCAAGCTGTCAAGTCGTTGCTGACATCAGCCGATCCGCCTGGTGCTGTGAAAGTCTCCACCGTGTTTCCTGATCCATTCCAGCAGCCTGCAAATTGTGAATAATTCCAGTGAAATTCTATCTTCATAAATATCAAAATAGAAAAATTAGCATACGATTTGCACAATACAGCTAGTAAAAGATTATTTCAATAAAACTCAGAGTAGACAAAGTAAGCTTTGAACGCAGTACCTACCGAAGACGCTTTAACCAGTCGGCTGCATAATTCTCGTAAAAATCTACTTTAATAAGCAGACGATTTACAATACAAACGGACTACCATCGGCTCTAACCTCGTTGTGTTTACGAAACGCCATGCAAAGTCACATTTTCACATGCTTGCCATCATACGGACTGTATTTGCCTTCCTCATAAAGAGGGATTACGCAGAAAAGGCCATGGAATGGCATAAAAAAGAGGAGAGTGGAGAAGTAATGCAGTCCGTGAAGGAGGACGCATCATTACCGAGAGCAAAGATGGCGTCGTCGGTGGAGGTGAGAAGAGCGAAACACTCGCGGGGTTTCTTCATGCCAGTTAACTCTGTCCACTGGCCCTGGGGACACCTGGCAGCTGGTGGTGTGAACATCTCCACCACGTTTAATCTGTTTCCACCACCATATCCCCCGGCGACAATGATTTTCCCCCGAAAGTGTGTCGCTGCCAGCCGGTATCGTGAAGTTCTCATGGGTGCGGCTGGCTGCCAAAAGTCCGACGAGGTCGCCCTCTCTCGCCAGTCTGCTCGCAGGTGGCAGAACTCCACAGAAGCCAGCGTGGAGGAGGAGTCATTATAGCCGCCAAAAACGAAGACTCTACTGTCGCCGGGCAGGCAGGCAGCAGCTGGTTCGTCCCTCTTCTCTCGCAGATCCGGCAGTTTGAACCACCTGTGTGTGTTGGGGAGGAGGAGGAGACGAGTGAGAAGGCAAAACAGGAAGATTTTGCAGGAAAAAAAGGAGTCGCCAGGACGAGTGTGCTCTCACCTGTCCCGACCGACTTCATGGACTTCACAAGAGGAAAGGCGACTACCGTTGTATCCACCGAAAACGCCGATCAGCGCCTCCCCTCCGGCTTCCGTCAGGACTGCGGCTGCGTGGTACGAACGTCCGACGGCGAGGGACGCCCGTTTGCGCCAGCGCCGTTCTGCCACCAGAAACTCCTCGACACTCGTGGAGTACCAACCTTGCGCAGTGTCTCCTCCAACCACGAAAATGCTCTCTTCAGTGGGGGTGGGGTGGAGCAGAAAAAAGTTTCATAAAATTGCGCGGAAGAAAGATAAAGTGGAAAGATAAAAGAAGGTAGGAAAGATAAAATAAAAAAGGCTTGTAGTTAACAGAAAGAGGGGGAACAACATCGTCGGACAAAAAGACGTGGATGCACAAATCTCCCAGTTGAGTGGCCGCCCGTGACGGACACAAACCACGCAGGTGGAGACACGGTTGGGTAAATTGAAGACGAAAAACAACAAACGCGTCGGGGGCAGGCCAGGCGAATGGACAACTTTAAGACCTCAAAACCCCTCAATTACTGCTACTACTACTGCTTTACTGGCAGGACTGCGTGTGTGTTTGTTTTAATTCTGGCAAAAAGGAGACACCAACTGGCCAAATTAGACAAAGAGGAAAACAAGGCAGGTGCACAGAAGAGGAGGTGCGTAACTGTCAGGCAACTCACCGCCCACGAGACTGTAGGTGGCGTATTCTCGCTTCTCCATGTCGGCAATCCTCTCTTCCTTTTCCAGCTGCGGATCGAAACGCAGGACAGACCACCTGACCTGATTTTTGTCCTTTCCAAATACGAAGAAGATCGTCTGAGGCGGTCTCCGACGGCGGTTGAAGGGACACGGAGGCTTATTTTTGTCTGCGTAGGTCATCCACTGCTCCACCAGAGCCATAAAACGACTTTCATTAGAAAATAAATGACGAACTGGAACAGCATATACTTACACACAGCTATTGCCTTCCTGGAACA